CATTTGCGACGGTCTTGCCCTTTCCTGCCATGCACAGTGTGATGTCATCCACCACGCTAAAGATTCTGACAAAACGGAAGGTGTCGGCGAGCATGTCTAGGGGGTCAGGGAGGAAGACCTTCAAGAGGGTAGTGGCGAACGTACATCTTGCGAGGATAGCCTGGATGGCGAACACCCCCCTCGAACACATCTTCCCCGGGAGAACATGTCGCTGTCCCCGATGCACGATCAGGAGGTACCGAAGGATCAAAACGTTGAAATGGTGTTTATTGGCAGCCTGGTCCAACAAGATATGCACCACTTTCTCGCATGCTCTGGTGAGGTCGAGGAGGGAGGAGGTGAAGGCCGCACCTGTATGCTGAGCGAACTCCCCCATGGCTGACTGCTCCCAGACCGCCCTCTCGCACGAGCGGCCAGCACTGCCATGCAAATAATCACGCTGGGGGTCACGTTCCCAAGAGACCGCGGCACGCCTGAGCATCCGAGACATCACCCTAACGAGCGCCGATAGCAGCCCGATAGGCCTGTGCCCCCCCATCAGGTTTCTCAATCATAGCAACCAGGATGACCTTCATCTGGCTGGGAACGTGACAGAGTCTAAGTAGTGCCTTCCAAAGACCTGCAAGTGCGATCAGACAATCGTCGCTGACCACAAGGAGGTCCCTCGGGTGGACGTTGTCGCTGCCTAGGGCCGTCCGAACCTTAAACTTCTCGGCGCGGGCACGGATGGCAACTGGGCCGCACTCCCACTCAAGCATGCCGAGAAACTCCTCATCGCTGAGGCTGGCGATGTGGTCGTTTAAAACTTCCAGTGGATCCTCACCTGGAACTACCCCCCCCAGGTGTGTTCCAAATCCCCTCCCACTCAGACGTCAAATTTGTTAAAATAGTTTGCGGGCCTGGAGGGGCCTGGTTAGGGGAAGAGGGTTTGGCAGGGGCCCACCCTGTGGGGGCCCTGGCGCAGCGGTGCCCGAATCCCCCCCCCCGTTTTTGACAGCTTCTTTGACCCAACTCCTCCAGGCCGTCTGGCGCGATGAAACCTGCACGCGCTCTAGCTTGTCGGCGATGCCGCCCGCGCCTGTCGCCCAGTGGTAGAGTTCCTGGGCGGGGGCGTCCTGCAGCATTGCACGGGGCGGGCTCCAGGGGATCCACTCCTGGCAGTTCTTAAGCGCCGGAGGGCCTCGGACAATATTGTTCGTGATACACTGTGTATCAACCCCGAGCCAAGACACCCCCCTGTTCCTAATATAATAAAGCTCCAGGGTCCAAGCATGGAGGGAACGTCGCCCTCTAGCCAGCGCGCATCCCACAGGATACGGACCCCCAGTGGTCTGAATCTCGGGAACGTACTGGATTTTGGGACCCTGGACCCTACCCCGACATTTACCCCCGAGCTCCTGGCCTAGACAGAAGGCCCTGCACGTCTCGTCCTCGTAAGGGCCCAGGAACTCAAAGAACAACGGATGAAGTCTGTGAACATCTGGCGCGTCATCGAGACGCTCCGCGAGCGTGCCCCAATCAATCGGCGCCGTCGGGGGCCCGAAAGGGAGCTCGGCGCGGTCCCGCGGGAAACTCTTGGGGCTGAACAAACGCGGCACCTCTGGCAGAATGGCTTTGTGGCGCAACACGAGCTGGACGGCCCAGCGCGGCTTCGACGTAGATACACGACTACGCCGCACAGCCAACACTGAGCTGGACAGGCCAGGCGAGACCAAGAAGAAGTCGAGGACGTTCCAAACCTTGCCGCACCTGCACGATGGAAGAGACGGAACACATATGGCAGCACGAAGACGAGATTCCCAACCACACTCACGAAGGGCATGTGGAGTGCAGTTCCAGCCTCCGCCTATGATATAAGGCAATCCCCATCCATGCAACAGCCCCCCCAGCCTGGCAAGAATTTGACACCCCTCAGGCCCTGAGGCCATGCCCCCAGTCGGAAGGTGAAGTGAAACAGCTAGGAAGCCCCCAGGGATATAAGCGTTGACCCAGCAGATGTGGACCCTGCGGGGGTTCGGGAGACGCGGAAAACTAGTTCCAGGTGGCAGGCTCATCCCGAACGAACGACGACACCCGACACCGACACCATTCGAGAGCCCGCCATCCTGGGACACCGCTGAGGGCCTCAGGCTGCACCGCCAGCCTAAGGTCGCGAAGCGAGATTCAGCCTCTTTAATCTGAAACCGAGCACGACCGATCTCCTGGGTAAGGACAACATCGGCCCTGGATTCCTCATTTAAAAACCGACAAAGAGGCCCCCATCCACCACAAACTCACATCGGCGCGCTGCTGCCTGCAACTTGGGGGGAGGAGCGGGGGGAGGCGGAGGCAAGGGGGGGCTGTTGCAGGCAGCTCGACGATCCTGATGGCTAGGAGCGCGCGGGGCTCTCGCCCGTGGCCGCGGGGGCCGCCCTGGCACGAGCGAGGGCGTCTGGGTTGGCCGCCTCAGCCGTGGATGCCATGGCCTCAACGCCCGTCGGGGGCGGCGCCTGCTCCATGT